GATCAATCCCGGAGTTGTGTATGGATTATCAGAGCTTTCTATTCTTTCTAATTTCTTTTTATCCCTAGCGGTTATATGTACCTTGGATTCATTTTGGCCAGATATAAAACAATCAGCACTTGAATCAGATGGTATCGAATACCAACCATCTGCTAGACAGAAAGATGAAGTGGATGATCGGTTGGAAAATTCGCCATTCATAGTTGACCATCACTTTCGAGGACTTCAAAGGACTCCGCCTATTTTTGAATGGCTCCCACTGTCCTGTCTAACCTTTTGGACAATTTCGAGTGTTGTTGCTGTAGTATTGGCCATGCTTGATATTGTGTACCTTCCGATAGTCAATTATTGGGTTTTCTATGGAGGCATGTCTGTTTTGATTTACACAGCGTTGGATTATTACATCAAAAAGCTACAATCAACAATTGAGCAGATCACCAAACTGGAGAAATATTGTATTTTGTATTTTAAGAGATATTTTTGGAGTCTTCAAATTGTGATCTCAACTACTATCCCATTTCTCTATACTATGGATTTATTCAGTTTGTCGTTGTTAACTTTACCCACACTATTCACTCAAAACATCTCCTCTATTGGTATTGATGCGGTTTTCTCCTTGCAAGTATTCATGATGATATTCAACTTAATTCCAATATTGATGTTGCTCAATTCACATACTTATACTAAGCATTTCTTCTGGGTGATTTTCACAATTTTGTGGATACCACAAGTGTTACTGGTTCCATATAGTGAAGAACGACCATTGAAATTTTCGTACAGTGAAACCTGGGACTTTAATAACCTCAATCAAACACAAATCCACATTCAAACGTTACCAACATCCCAAGCTCCTCTTATGGCCAAACAACTGCAAGAGTTAAAGGTACTATCTGATTTAGAGGTATATAACATGAATGATTCCTTAATCACGATAAAATCAAACAGTGTCCCATTAGACGTTGATATCAATTCAATGACAATTCAAATTCAAAAAGATGATGACCGAAAAGGGCTGTATCATGGTACGTTTACAGGGCTCAGAGAATCTCGGATCTGTTCTATCAGTTACACATCTCAACCAAATATTTCCATTGAGCTACTATCTGGATCTTTTCATTCACAAACTACTGAAAATATGGTTCAACTTATTCCCGATGTACCAAATATTTTTACAAAACGAAATTTCCGCATAACAGAAAGTCAAGTCGCGTTAACTGTGGATATAATGACAAATTCTACACTAGAAATTGAATGGAGGTGTTTTCTACCATCTAGAAAAAGTCAGCTCTATACATCAATCGAGGCTTCATTGCCAAAATGGTTGATGGTTGGCGGTGACGATCATTCGATGGGAGAATTGTCCGTATTGAAGAGAACAGTCATTCCAAGTATCTAGTTGGTTATAAAGTCACTGTCAAAAATAAAGAAATTAAACATTCCAAGTGAACTTGATATATTTCATGTGATCACCACAGAGTTGTTGCAAAGCGTATTGTGTATAAGGCTCCACGCTATTCAATACCGTATGTTACTGCAATGTCAATCATTATTGAGTATATTTGATTGATGTAAATATAAAATGTTCACGTTTCATTTACAGCACCAAAGAATGAATTTCTGAGTCCCATCTCAACTGGATATGAGAAACTGACATCCATTCACTCACTTCAATGATTATTTTCCCTAGTCATAATGAAAGCGGGCCGTCGAATCACTGCTGTGCTGATTGGAATCAGTTAATAGATTTTTTGTCGATTGCATTCCAAATATAGAAAGACTGGCCATAATTTTATGACAAAGGAGTGGCCACAATTGAAGTTATTTAGATGAAACCTGCTTTGAACAAGCAGAAAATTTAGTTAGTTAATGTTTTGTAGTCAGGTTGTGTTCTATCGGTTACAATCAAGATTTCACACAACAATGACCAATGTGATTGAGAATCCTTTTAAGTAACATATTGGGGAGTATGGTGCCATAGCATAGCCGTCAAATTGAATCAGAAACCATTGTGCTTTTGAGCAGATGGACACAAAAAAGGAATGAAAAAGTTACAGAAAGATGCAGGAAAAAACGACAGAGAAATAGGTGAATCTCAGCAGATTAATTGTCAAGTTCTTCATTGGTCTTATTCTAATTTCTGTTATGGGCATTGATGGTGAGTTGAGACCACGTTTCTACTCAATTGGGTGAGGGTTAGCAAGATGAGGGTTGTATAGTAGTACAAAGTATTGTGATCAATGAACCCATCCATCTGACATTACCCATTGACTTTCATCAAAGGAACTTGGGTTGAGAGTTAGATACTTTGCATACCATCCAATTCGGTAGAGCGCTGGAGTTTTCCAAATTAAAGGGAGATGCTTAGTTCCTGTGAACAACTCGTAACAGGGCCCATGTGAAAAGTTCTTTGTAGAATCTGGATCACAAAAGTTGAGCCCAGTCTGAGCGGGTTTTAATGAGACACAAAATATTGTATTCCACTTTACTATTCAAATCTCAATCATGTACAATGCCTTTGTTCCTTCAGTTACAAGACAATATGATTACCAAAAGAAACGTGATACTCAAGGCGATCCTGGAATTTCTAGACCCCAACTAGTGCCAAATGACAAACAAAGTTTTGTTAGAATTGATTCTTCTTCATACGTTGCTCCTTCTCCATTGGCATCAATGCCTATTCCTCTTCGTCGTTCTCGCTCTCAACGTCAGTCCACCAGCTCGTCTCAAAGAATATCAACCGATGGTTCAAAACCGCTTGTAAATATAAGAAGGGAAAGTTTAGAAAAATATCGTTCAAGTATAAGCTCACCACGGGTGGATTCTGCTTGTGAATTGAATTATGGCAACAGAGAAAGTATTCATGTTGAAAGTTGTTCGCTAAACCATGACGATGAATGGATCTACTCAATGGATCTGAAATTGAAGGATGGGCAATCACACATTCTTCAGCGTTCTTATTCCGATCTGTGGGCTCTACATATCAAGTTACTAGAATCATGTCCTAGAGAAGCAGGTGGCAATAACCATCCAAGATCTATTCCATTCCTTGACCCTCTTTTACCTCATATGTCAACAAATGAAGCTATTCGAAGACGAAAAGTTGTGAATTTTTACATGCAAGAGTTACTCAAACTCTCACAGTTTGGAGTCGGAAATTCACAACTAGATCTATTCCTCGCCATCACCAGCACAGATTTTATTCAAAAAGAAGATCACCCATTGTTTTCAACTGCATCGGAAACAATCATGGATCTATTGTCAGACTTGACTGTACGTGATACCGTTTTGGTAAAAGTAACTCATGGCAAATATACATTTGCATGGTCAGAAAACAGTGAAGTGACATACACAACTCTCTTTAACCACACCCGTAGAAGGGTGGGCGAACCAATCTATGCGCTGAAATACCGAAATGAATGGGGTGAAAAAACTCCACTACTCTCCGATAATGAATTGCGATTGTTGGTTAATTTCAAGGATCGTTTAGTTTTGTATACAAGTTAAATATAGTTCAAGTATTCTCATTTTTTTTGACTTTATCGTTTTGATCATGTGTGGGCCAGACAATCTCTCAAAGAAAACGGAGGTTATAAATTGGATGAAGATGGATCATCGAAATTATATTTATATATCACTTGTTGAAACTCTTGGATCCTAGAAACATAAACAAACCAAATATAAAATATTGGATCTGACCTGTCGGTAAATTGACAATTAACGGGCCCTAATATATTAGCATAGAAGAAAGTTACAGGACAGATGCCACACACTCCCCACCCAAATCCAAAAGCTATTGAACCAATTATCAAATCCTTATCAATGTCTGTTCTTGAGGGAACATCGAATTGGTCATTTAACAATGTTTTCTTCTGATGTGCAATGTATAGATTGTAAATTATCGATAAGGGTACAACTGCCCCTAAAACTAAGGACAATAGGGTGGGATCAAACAGCAATGGGTCTTTTAACAATGAAAGAAATCCAATCACAACTCTTGCCTGAGTCATTTTTGCCAATATAAGTCCACAGCCAAAGATAAATCCACACCATAAAGAAATGAAAGGACGTAACCAGGATGTTCTCTTCGTTACCAACACACCCACCATCAATATTGAGATAAATGCGAACAGGAACGATATTTGATTAAGAATGTCACCCTCTGATGGAATTCTCTCTTGAATCATGCTGAAACCACTGTCAGAAGGTAAAATTACACGTGCAATCATTCCAGAACTGACAAAACAAGCAGAAGCGATGATAGATCGCCTTGAAAATCGAGACACCCCGCATAGCATATGACCACTAGTACATCCAGAGCCTCTCTAAAAATAAATAAGTCTTTCAATATTATACTTTAGCACCATATCCAACCAACCAACCCGCTATTATCCAATTCCAAAATGACTGCAAACCACTTGAAGGGGTATACCAGCCAAGAAGTTGATTATTATAAATATTCGCTGATATTCCACTTATCAGTAAGCCAAACAAAAAAGAAATCCTCCACAGATCTGGTTGCAGAGAACGTTGAATCATTCCATTGACCCCAGTCACTCTACCGAGCAAGACGTACATTCCCACCACACTGGTTAGGAGATACATGCTCCCTACCAATGGTTCCAGATACTTTGGTTGAATATTATTAAAACCCATGTGCAAAACACAGAAAAAATAAGCATTTAAATACTGAGACCTATGGGCTCATTTTTGATATCAAATGGCTGATTCAAAAGTGGGAAATAACGGAAATCGGCAAGAGAAATATCTGTTTCACCCTCACAACTTTAGCAAACACCTGATGAGATTTACGACTTCTTAGTGATGGGGATCTTTTGGTGGTTAGAACGTTATTTTAGATATAATTCGAATATAAAACAATTTTGCTATCGACACACACCAATTTGGAAGAATAATATAGGTTTGTTACTATTTTGGTTAAATGGGTATGGCAATTTTTCTATGACAAAGTTATATATGGAAATCAAAAAAATGAAAAAAGTGGGGGTGTAGCTCAAATGGTAGAGCGCTCGGTTTGCATCCGAGAGGCAATGGGATCAATGCCCATCTCCTCCATAATCACTTTTTTCTCTTCTACTTTTGCCTGTCAAAAACTATAGTAATGATATTGATTTACTAAATCTGTCCTCGATTTAACTTTTCGCTCCATTATGATTCGGATAGTTAAGGACGCATTATAAATCATGTTGAATTGATAAAATATTATTCTTCTAAACATAGTGTTAGTATTCAAGGCTTTTGCTAGCACTATCTTAACAATCTTTGTATGGGAGATTGTTATCACGTGGACATGCTACAATTGTTTTACCGTCCACTCTGAGCTTTTAGAAAGATGCTTAATATTAATACTGAAGGGCATCTTGGACCATTAGATAATTATGATCAATATGTGAGGAAATAACTTCACAAACGTGGTAAAAGTGATTCTTTTTAGTTGGAATTTCGCATTGGATTGAGAGATAATTAGGGTATCAGATTTACTAAACTTTGACAAAATCTGATAATGAAATCTTTTTTTGAGATTATATTTTGCTTAGAAATCTCTTAAATGACCTTCAATAGTCATCGACATGGGCTCAGGAATACTTTATTGAAACAAGAACCAATATAGTAGAAATAGGGTTTGTTCGGTTTCACCACATCATTAAACCCCTGTAACAAATCCATCCGTTAGAGAAGAGGATTAGTTATATGATTGATTTGGTTAGTTTTAATATGGTTGTGAAACCTGAAAGAGTTTGTGATTAGGGAGGCTGGTAAGTTGTGTAATGTGCCATAAGCCTGCCGTTGCACAAAAAAGTTAATATTCGATTTCCAAGGTGTGATCAAGTATTCCATGATATTGCCTATATTTCGACAGTGCAATATTTTCCGCATCAATATTATTAAAGTGACCGTTAATTTCAACTTATTCCCGAAGGTGAAACAATTGCTTAGTAGAGTATGACAAGGACAATAAATGAAAGATCGTGAGGTGATACAAAAGAAGGGAGTAGGAATAGATTGCGAAGGATTGAATTTTTGATCTAAATTGTGGGCTCCATCGACATTCTTTTAGTTTCAAGACCCTTCCTTTGGCCGATCCCGTCCAAATCTGTTGCAAATCATTTCCAAAGGCCAGTGGCTGAAACAAGTGGGATCTTCCAATAAAAGACAATTCGTACCGTAAGAGCATGAACTGAACTTTCCCTAAAAAAAACCTCATGCAATCAATATACTCCACTGTGGGTGCCAGTGAATTTCAGAGACGAATTCCCAGAAAGCAACCAAATGGTTTTGGAAGAGCCAACACTTTCAATGACGAGGAGGTACCTCCGGTGCCAGTGCTTCAGAGACAATATTCTCAGTCTCCTCAACCTCAACGTCCTTATTCTCAGTCACCTCAACCTCAACGCACCTATTCTCAGTCACCTCCACAACGACAACAATCCCAATCCCCAATTTCTCGAAAATCATCCTCAAGACGACGAACTAATTTATCTATTGTTCCGAGAGGAAGTTCTCACCCTCAAACTATATTTAATCTTCCCCCAAGAAAGATTATAAGAGCAACAGTCGGTTATATTGCACAGACTGAAGCGGAAGTGTCCTTTGCTGCTGGTGATTACTTTTATGTAGTCAATGACAACAGACCTGATGACTACTATGAAGTCGTTAATCCATTGGAAAAAACAAGAGGGTTGGCAACTCGATACTATTTTGAGGATATCAAAGGTGATCAACCTTATGCTTCACCTCCAATGTCACCTCCTGCTGAAGCCCTTGAATACCATAATCCTAACCCAAGGACAACTTCTATCATTCGTGTGAACCCAAAAGCTTTAAATGATATCACCAAGAACGCAAATTCAGTAGACTTTAACTTGAAAGAGCTAGTGGATACCATTGATGTGCCAAGAATCGAAATAAGTAACAATCAATGGATTTATACCATACAAATTATCAGAAGAGATGGTATTACTCGAATACTGAAGAGATCTTATGATGATTTTTGGGCCTTACAAGTTTCACTATTGAACTTTTTCCCGACCGAATCGGGATACTCCACTTCAGGAAGAATAATACCTCATATGCCAAAACCAACTGGATTAACTAAACAAGGAGCCGAAGAGCGCCAAAATTACCTAGCATTCTACTTAATCACCTTGGTCTCCCTTCCCTCTCGTATCCTAAACTCACCTTACGTGACAAAGTTTTTCACATTACGTCATGGTGATTTGGACACTTCAGTACCATTAGTGTTTGATTATAGTAATACTATGATGGACCTCATAGACCTCATGCGGGAAGATCGCACAGTGACGATAACTCTGGTACTAGGAAATGATACACTCAGCTGGAAAGAACGCCATGATATTACATATGATCAGTTACTTGAATCTATTCAGCCTCGATTAGGATTTGACTTTGGTCGAGTGTTGTATAAGGATGAAGCGGAAATCTTGATTACGTTGTATGATGATGATGATTTACATTTGCTTTTCCAATTGGATTCGGTAACACTGTATGTGTCTTAGATCGTTTCTTTTCCTGTATAGTTTAATTCCTAATATAGAAACATAGTAAAGAAAAGTTTCATTCTCGTTTATGGATATGATTTGAGCAATCTAATACTTATATATGAACAAAAATGGACGACTGACTCTAGTTTTGGGTATTATCTCGATGAAAACGCATATAATGGTTATTTACCACGTATTTAATCACTGCCAATTTACTTTTCTTTAATGGTATGGTAGTACTAGTACTGGAACATCACCTCCATCGCCAAGTGCATCACCTTCTGGGCTTTATAACTCACCATATGAAGGTTTACTAAAAGAGAACTCAAAAATCTTGTTCAATATGATGATCATAGATGTTATAATGAGACTGAATACATATTGTTATACTGATGAAGATTGTCATATGAATCGCGTGTGGAGAGATGAGAATTCGTGTAAATCCAACAACATCAACGTGCACACCATCACAACCATCACAACCAGTTACTTGATTCAACAACTTCTCATTTACTTTAAAGAATTACCAATTGGAACCAAGTATCGTCTGGGTTATGCGGCGCATGTCAAGCCCACACTTCTTCTCTTTTCATGTATAAGCATTATTCAGAAATTGCTCCTACAAGGTCCAATTCAAAGGAAGACCCTGCTCCGGGTGAATTGAAACAGAGGCCAAATACTACTAAATCTTCAAGGAAGAAACCTACTAAATTGAACTTTTCTGCTCGAGGTTCTTCTCATCCTAACCATATTTTCAATTTACCCCCTCAGAAGATTATTAAAGCTGCTGAGGATTATGTTGGTCAGAAACCTGGTGAATTATCCTTTCAACGTGGAGATTTTTTTTATGTATTCCTTACATTTTGTTCATAGTAGGTTATCAAAGAAAGAGATGATATTTATGAAGTTATGAATCCAATCCTGAAAGTTCGAGGAATTGTTCATCGTCGTTATTTTGAAGATATCAAGAGAACTGTGGACCCAAGAAATGATGATAGGTCACAGAATAATGATAATCAATTTCATAACGAACATCCTGATGACGCTCATTATAATGATGGGCAACAGGATGACCCGTATTATAATAACGGACAACCAAATAATTATCCGAATGGGTCGGATAATCAACAGAATTATGATGACTATGGTGATAATCGTTACCAAGAAAATGATAGAGACTATAGAGATTATGATGACCGCTACCCAGATGATAGACAACTATATAGTGCACCTAATTCAGGGCTTTATAGCGGCAATTCGGGTACCCATCCCCCTCGTCAACCCTACTATGACGATGGTCCTGATGATTTCTTTGTTGATAATATCGACCCGTATAGACAATCATTTAATCCTGCTCGTGATAGAGACCGTAATAACCATCAACAACATGAAGACCCATACTTTAGCCCTAATGCAAGAGGCAATTACGATGAACGACCACAAAGAAGTGCATCTCCTGGTCTTCGCACTCGATCTCCTGCACCTCAAATTCCCCAAAAATCACATCCAATTCGCACTAAATCACCAAAACCACTTGACTTTGCTCAAACCCCTCGTGAAGTTTTACCTAGCCCTCCAGTAGATAAAAAAGTTGCTGACCTTACTGATCGTATGAAACCTTTACAGGTAAAGACTGATTACGGCCAAAAAGTTGCTATTGATAATGCTACTGTACAATATTGTGAACAGAAACCAGATGGCAAATGGCAGTTCACCGTACACGCAAAATACAATAATGGCCGACTCAATATTTTACAGCGCTCTTATGATGATTTCTGGGCATTACATGTAACATTGGTGACAAGATTTCCCAAGGAATCTGGTAGAGGTGGGGAACCTCGATCTATTCCATTTCTGACCATTCCAACGGGAGGACAAAATCTACAGCAAGCAGAAATGGCGAGATTTGATTTAAATCGATATCTGTCAGAATTACTCACTGTTCCTGGTCACATATTGCAATCTACGTATGTGAATAAGTTCTTTGAAGTGCGTGCAGGGGATACCAAATCATTTGCAAGTGCACCTGTGGATGTAGCAGATACTTTGATGGACTTGTTAGAAGATTATCAAGAAGACTCTACGATAACGATCAAACTATGTCTTGGGGAAGAGATCATTGCATGGAAAGAACAACGAGCGATAACCTATGATGAATTATGCATGACAGCAGAAGATCGATTAGGGTTTAATTTTTCGGAATTACTTTATATGGATGAATGTGAATCTATGATACCATTGTATGGAGATTCTGACTTGAAGTTATTGATGAGTTTAAAGAAATTGAAATTTTATGTGAAGTAAGATATTGATTTGAATAAAATTATATTATTATGCATTGATAATGATTGTAAGCATTTATAATGATTGTAAGCATTGAATATGATCGTGAATTTCATTGTTCATTTCTCATTAATTCTTACCTCTACAATTCCTCTCGAATCTTCAGTCTAGGGTTACTCTAGGGTTAGTGATGTTTCATCATGACTAAAATTTACAAATCAATTCGATATAAAACCTTGAATTTCTTGACTTTAAAAAATACTGAAATGG